TTTTTATAGCCAGACAGTGCATGCGCTTTGCTGCACTATTTCAACTGGAAGGTGATTTCTGTTGCCTTGTGGCGATGCCTTTTTAATCCTTGTAAGAAACCTCATAAAAATCAACATTTACAGGTAAAGTCGATTTTTTTACTTGTGTAATTGTGTAAAGTCATGTTATCAACACTTTTGTTACATATTTTGACGATTGTTTGAACACAATAGGTAATTAATAGATTTGTAAAAATACAAAACACCTATGCGTTTCTTTTTTTGGATAGTATAATTTGGCTGCTTGACTTTGGGGAGATATTAATTAAATCTAACGAGAGAGTGAGTGAGTGAGTTTAGTTTTACGCCGTACTCAGCAATATTCCAGCTATATTGCGGCGGTCTGTAAATAATCGAGTCTGGACCAGGCAATCCAAGGATCAACAGTATGAACATCAATCTACGCAATTGGGATACGATGACATGTGTCAACCCAGTCAGCGAACCTAACCACCCGATCCTGTTAGTCGCCTCGTACGACAAGCATGGGCTACTGAAGATGAATTCTAACCCGGACCTTCACGGGTCTTAAATCTAATGAAGGAATCGTGGTAAATGAGAAAGAACAAACGATGAATACTTTTTTGAATCAACATAATTTATGTGTTTATTCCAATGCAAACCCCACTGCTGTGTGGTGCTATTTACTAGCCTGGGCTCCGTTTCAAAACGCTATCGTATACTTAGCGCTACGACTGTCGTAAGTCAATGTTGCAAAATAGGAGGTACGACAGTCGTAGAGCTACGATAGCTGGGGCCCATAGCATACAGCAGGATAATTATACGAGTTAAAATAATTTACTTACTTATGCATCGAAAACTTGGTGTATGGGGGGAATAAACCGCAGGCGTTGTGTGATACTAAGAGTCCCTTAACGAGAGAATTCATTTTTACGTCGCAGTTGTCAAATTGAATATTATTTAAGTCACTAAGAGAGTTTAAATTGTATAACGCCCTTCTCCACAATATCCAAGCAATTATGTCGCATCATATATAATGATCGGTGTCCACTGGTTTTCCGGGCCTTCTTAATATTATTTACCAACTGAATGCAAAATAACCTTTACTCTCTGAGTCTTTGTCTTTGTTGCGATGTAAAGTCAAACCCCGTTGTGTCGTGACCAAGGGAACAGTTCGACTAATCCAAGTGTTTGACACATCCGTCAGCATAGAAATAATGATAATATAAGGAAATCGGCAGGGACCGAGAGATGAGTTCGACACAACCGAGGATTCGTCTCAACCGACTTCGAGACATTGGGGTTCGACTGTACTTATTCCGGTATGACTTAACCGATGTAATTATCGATTTTCTGCTTTATAGCTGTTTACCTCCAGATAAGTGCGTGAAATGCAAGTCGCTGTCCACTACCTATCGAATTTCAGCCTTTAAACATTCATTACAGACACCTGGGTTATCTCCCCTAGGCTGTACAGGAGCGTGACCTAAATTTCTGTTAAATATTTTTGATTTTCCTTTTCCTTCTGCTAGGTATATATCTCCGCAGCAAGGGAGCTACAGAGAAAATATAAGAGACTAAACGCAATTTCGAAACTTTAAATTTAGATACACGTTTTTGAGAAAACAACACAAAGGTAGGACTTACCCATCATTCAGTCATATGAAAGCTAATTTTTATTGTCAAGGTTTTGTGTCTTATAACAACGTCTCAAGTGAGTGAATGAGTATGGTTTTACGCCGCTTTTAGCAATGTTCCAACAATATCACGGCGGGGGACGCCAGAAATGGGCTTTACAGAATGTATCCATGTGGGGAATTGATCCCGGGCCTTTGGCGTGACGATCAAACGCTTTAACCACTAGGCTACACTACCGCCCCTTAATCTAATGGAAGCAAACTGTTAGGAATACAATTTATCCTCCTGACAACCATACCAGAAACTACGACCATGAAACAGCATTTCAAGTTCATCAAGATCCGTCAGTTTACAGTTGCACGAGTGAGTCAGTCAGTATAGAATAAACGCCGCTATCTGCAGTATTGACGTCATATCATGGTGCCAACATTCGTGACCAACTCGTGCTTTTCCGGGATAAGCCGTCTTGCCGATTACGGAAAGTGACGAATGGGTGCATTCGTAACTACTCGCCTCTTTCCGCGACCTACAAGAAGGCCACCCGGCTTCCCGGAATGACACGAGTAGTTACGAATGGAATGGGCATGCCAGAGGAATATGGAAGGGTTTCTATAAAAGGTTTAATTTCTCTTTGTTTGTTTATCAAACACTCATCAATGTTCCGGCTATATGGCGGCTATCCGCCACCCGATGATTATCGTAAGAGGCGACTAACGGGATCGGATGGACAGGATCGCTGACTTGGTTGACACATGTCATCGTATCCCAGTTGCGTAGATCGATGTTCATGATGTTGATCACTGGGTTGTCTGGCCCAGACTCGATTATTGACAGACTTTCGCCATATAGCCGAAATATTTCTGCGTGCGGCGGTAAACAATAAACAAACGAACCATAGTTATGTCCCTTGTGTACACTAGGATCCTATGATTCTGGGTTCGGATCACGATTGACCTGATTACTGTCAGGTAGGATGTAGTGGTGATCCGATTAATTGAAATAATCGAAGATTGGTCGTAGTGACTAAACGACCAAGCAATCGATCACGTTTTCTCATAATCGAACACAAACAATTCTGGAACACTTGTTTTCATCAAAAATATTTTTCACAAGGTTGTTTGTCTGTTACATTTCATAAGCATTATAAGCTCGTTCCAAGTCATGATTGAATTTATCTTAAAGACACCAAAGAAATTTATGTTACTAACATACTTGTCATCATTTAGAGATGTGAAATTTTGCCCAAACCCCAAAATAACTACATGGTTTTTTTTTCTAATTTTTTTGTTCATTAACAAATTTCATAAATGACGCTAACCAATTATTTTCGATGATTGATCGGTGGTAATGAACCAATCATCAATTATGAGACTTTAACCAATGCCCAACACTAGTAGGATGTAAATGTTTGAGATGTCATTGCTTCGGGTTTCTCTCCCACATTGCTGACACGCCGTGATATAACTTGACTACTGCTCATGATGTTGATCACTGGATTGTCTGGTTTAGACTCGATTATTTGCAGACTACCGCCATATAACTGGAATATCGCGACGTAAAACTAAACTCACTCACTCACTCATAGCGGATTTACTCGCTTGAGAACGCGTTAGTCGTTAGTAGAAGCAGTCTTAAAATCACTCGATGACAAGTCCTCCTTGTCGATCTCTGGTTGTTGTCAAATGGTTAAGTTTGCATTAGTTGAAACACTTAGCGAGTGAGTATTGTTTTTTTAAGCCGCTTTTAGGAATATTCCAGCAATATCACGGAGGGGAACACCAGAAATGGGCTTCACTCATTGTACCCATGTGGGGAATCGAACCTGGATCTTCATCGTGACGAGCGAACGCTTTAACCACAGGGCCACCCCTCGTCCCTGGCTTATCGAACCCGGCTGAAAAATACTTGAAATTGATGTGTGTTCAATTCATTCATCTCACAAAGATATTTTTAGTGAAGTGTTGTATAATGACTTCCTTAAGTGGGATCTAGAAGCTGGTATGATGAAGTGGAACACTTTTTATGGATAGACAACTTTATTGTAGTGCAGGCGACGTTTCTGTGTAGACCCTGACGCCGTTATCAAGCAAATGATACACAACATATGCATAAGGAGAAATATATACATAACGGGTATTTAAGTTTATACAACTGAACAGGTTAATGTACAGTGTGTTGACATAATGACATAATGTCAAGTTGTCATCTATTGCTGAGTTAGTAATTTAGCTTTTATGTTGATGGATGTTGATATTTTGCTGAAAGGCATATAATACAAACATTTCAGAAATAAATAAGATGTCTGTAACAGACCCAATGGGATAGGTCCCATGCCGCCTCTAGACCCGTGAAGATCCGGGGTAGAATAAGTCTTCAGCAACCCATGCTTGCCACAAAAGACGACTATGTTTGTCGTAAGAGGCGACTAACGGGATCGGGTGGTCAGGCTCGCTGACTTGGATGACACGTGTCATCCAAGCCCCAGTTACGCAGATCGATGCTCATGCTGTTGATCACTGGATTATCTGGTCCAGACTCGATTATTTACAGACCGCCGCCATATAGCTGGAATATTGCTGAGTGCGGCGCAAACCTAAACTCACTCACTCTCGATGCCGCCTCAGTCACTTATCTGACTGAGTTTGGTTTTACGCCGCTTTTAGCAATATTCCAGCAACATCACGGCGGGGGACACCAGAAATGGGCTTCACACATTGTGCCCATGTGGGATTCGAACCCGGGTCTTCGGCGTGACGAGCCAGCTTTAACCATTAGGCTACCCCACCGCCCCTCAGTCACTTATCATAATCCTAGTTACAGCACCTTTGTTTCTTTTGTTATTTAACTCACATATTCTACACATAAATAATCAAATCTGTACCAGACAATCCAGTGACTGACATCATAAGCGTCGATTTTGCAGTTTGTATCCGATGATATGCATCAACCAGACTAGACTAACAACAAGTCTCTGAAATGATATTTTATATTTTTACAGAAAAAAAAATGAATAGTAAAAGACTTTCTTCATTTTTCTGAAACTGTGGAAATCTAGACTTGCCACATTTTCTAGACTTGCGTGGGCTTTTCTTTGATATATTTGCTTCAGGGTCTGTATGACAGACATCAGCCAGACCAGCGATCCCGTTAGTCCCCTTTAACGACTAGTATGGGTTGCTGAAAATGGGGTGTTGAATACCAATTTTCACCTTGAAATTAAGCCCACACTTTAGGTAGTTTTCAACGAGAGTCATAAATAAGGAATCCAATCTGACCTGAATGAACAAATGACGACAGAGGTATTATCTGGTGCCATTAGGCCATTGGTCTTACACAGTGGCGTTATCTTACGAAATGGTGATAAGCGGCACTTGGAATTTCGTCACGTTTTGTCACATTACGCCTGAACCGAGCTGATCACGCCACGCTGCAATGATTCCAAGGATATCTACCTTCATTCTCGGTGAGTTACGTCCATTTTGTCAACATATCACTCTTTTTCAAAGACGTTTAATTAACCGTGTTTTATCTTAAATAAAAAAAATCCAAATGTATGCCAAAAAATCATCAGTTAATACTCACGTTTCGAAAGTTTTGCGTTCTAATATTAATATCATGAAATTTGGAATTATTTAACAATATTTCTTTTTAGTCTCATATCACATAATATCATATTACGTATTTTCTTATTTAAGTTTTTACCCATGCTGAGGTCACAGTGACCGCGAAACGTCATTCAGTGCACACCGATCTTATCTTTCTGCGTATTTCGAACATAATCTACATGTATTCCAACTCAACTTCGATACAAGCGGGAAGTATATATTTATCCACTGTGCAAATGTCTAACATGTCGAGTTAAAGCCGTACCACTGACCAAATGACCCTACTGGATTGTCTGGTTCAGACTAGATTATTTACAGATTTAGCTGGACCATTGCTGAGTCAAACAATAACCACATCTTACACCTCTGTAATGCGCTGTACTACATAGCATAAACTCTGATCCGTAATTATCTCCCCTTATCCACGAAACTTCATATTTAGTTACAATGTCGTGCTGTTTGCATTAATGAGAGTTCCCATTGACGCACCACAAACAGCTTTAGTAAGTTAACAAAAATAATTCTGCGATTATGTGTGATTTATTTGTTAAAGTTTTAACTAGTAACTATTTTTTTGTGCATTCGATGCTGATCACTGTAGAGACTGAGAATGGTTGGACATGTGATGACAACTTTTGTCAAGAGGTCATCCTAGCATCAGAATTTATATTATAAAGATTTATAGATCTGACGGTTTGACCTGTCAAAGCTGATATTTTCTTGAAGGATGGGCATTACTGCTGTGGTGTAACAAACGTCATGCTAACTAACTAAAGGACGTATTACAGATTCGAATCCTGGTACGACTAAGGCTCACAACTCAGAAAATGTATTGTTTTGTACAGCTGGGTCATCTCTGTCCTTTCGATTTGGTTTATCACGGAAACGCAAAAAAGGAACTAAATTAAACATGCGGTATATCACTTGATAGCCAACTGGAAGATTTCCGAAAGTATTTTATGTACTCGAAAAATGATAGAACTGCTGTTATATTTGACTTTTTGACCTGACCATCACTTATGCTTGCAGTGTTTAGTAAATGTAATCTGTGGTCGGGTTCAGAGAAGGCAGTAGTTAGAAATGACTTTACAACCACGATACCCCTACCATGTTTGAAACGTGAAATAGGCATATGTAGATTTACAAAGAGACGATGTCTGAGCTACACATCGGGGCCTTGTTTCTCAAAGCGATCGTAGCGCTACGACAGTCGTAAGTCTATGTTCAAGTATGGGAGTTACGATCATCTTAGCGCTACGATCGTTTCGTGAAACGGAACCCTGCAATGTAGATTTTGATCTTGAAACAATGAAAAAAAATCCACGTAAACATATTTTTTTCAAGAAATAAGAAATAAGACATTTTCAACTGAAAAACAATAATCTGATTATCGGAACTGGGATGGATAGTTTCTTTCGCTTCTCAGTATAGTTCTGGGCCTAGATTTTCGAAGCTCTCTTAGCGCTAAGATAGTCGTAAGTGCCATACATTAACATTAACTTACGACTATCTTAGTGCTAAGAGAGCTTCGAAAATCTAGACCCTGCTTAGTTAACTATTGAGTATCGGTCTTAAGCATCCGTATAATGATGTTGGTACATGCAGTTTCTGTCACCTTGTTTCAGTTTGCAATTTGATTCCCTGGGTAAACCCCTACTTACTAGGAGGCGACCCCCTGAACACCAGAGGTAACAGTATTTACATAATTATCAATGGGTGTTCTATGAACCCTCGTTAATCCGAACAGTGACCGTTAAAAGTGAAATCAGGCGGATTAACACTTTGCCGGATACGCCACTATAATCATATACACTCATTACCGGCAATAATCGTCCGATTCTGGAGGTTTACGGATTAACGTTGTCCTTAGTTTAGAGGTTTACTTGTATATTCTGAAAGCAATCATTCTGTTAATCAGTTAATCAAGAAGTTTACATTCGCGTTAAACCAGAATGAGACAATCAGGATAAACGAAATTACGGGATTACAAACTATGCCTTGGGAGTCCCTTTGAATACAGGATTTCAGATATTTATGAGTGAGCTTCATACGAGCGGGAACTGACATGGTATCGCTTCACCTATACATTGTAAAACACCACACTGAACCCTCGAGCACCTTCTGTACACATACGTATTGTGTATGCCATTTTTTCGCAATGTCCACGTGTTATTATCAAGAAGCCGAACGCCATAAGTTTTAGATATGGTATGCCCATATAGAGAAAGATCTGGGTTAATCTTTGGATAACCCGTAAAGATCCGGGTTAGAATTAATCTTCAGTAACTCATGCTTTTCGTAAGAGGCGACTATGTCATCGTACCCCAATTCCGTAGATCGATGCTCATGCTGTTGAATACTAGATTGTCTGGTCCAGACTCGATTATTTACAGACCGCCGCCATAAAGCTGGAATATTGCTGAGTGCGGCGTAAAATTAAACGCACTCACTCCCTAGTCTTTGGATGCCTAAGCTTTCAGAAAGAGGCAGCTAACGGGGTCGGGAGGTTAGATATTGCCTCAGAGCCTTTTCGTGGGTCCCCGTGAAGGTCCGGGTTAGTATTGGTCTTCAGCAACCCATGCTTGTCGTAAGAGGCGACTAACGGGATCGGGTGGTCAGGCTCGCTGACTTGGTTGACACATGTAGGTCGATGCTCATGGTGTCAATCACTGGATTGTCTGGTCCAGTCCCGATTACTAACAGCTCGTCGTTATATAGCTGGAATATCGCTGAGTGCGTAAATGCGTATACACAAGACGGCATTTAGGCGTGACCATCCAAAGCATGACTGAGGAGCTAGTCAGGGTACAAGCATTAAGGGGCGGTGGGGTAGCCTAGTGGTTAAAGCTTTCGCTCTTCATGCCGAAGACGCGGGTTCGATTCTCCCACATAGATTCAAAACCCGTGAAGATCCGGGTTAGAATTGATCTTTAGTAACCCATGCTTGTCGTATGAGGCGACTAACGGGATCGGGGATCAAGCTCGCAGCCATGGTTGACAATTCTCAATTGCGTAGATCTATGCTCATGCCGTTGATCACTGGATTGTCTGCTCCAAACTCGATTATTTACAGACCGCTGCCATATAGCTGGAATATTGCTGAGTCCGGCGTAAAACTAAACTCACTCACTCACTCACATAGGTTCAGTGTGAAGCCCATTTCTGGTGTCCCTCGCCGCGATATAAGCGGCTTAAACTAAACTCGCTGACTCAGTACAAGCATTACTCGCATTACTTACAAATGTGAGTGAGTTTAGTTTTACGCCGCACTCAGCAATACTCCAGCTATATGGCAGCGGTCTGCAAATAATCGAGCCTGGACCAGACAATCCAGTGATCAACAGCATGAACATCGCTCTACGCAATCGGGATGCGATGACATGTGTCAACCCAGTCAGCGAGCCTGACCACTCGATCCCTTTTAGTCGCCTCTTACGACAAGCATGTGTTACTGAAGATTAATTCTAACCCGGATCTTCACGGGTTCACAAATGTGAATGTTAAAGAAACTAACATGTATATATTTTTTCAATTTCCAGCATCGTATTGCCGCATATGTGACGACAATGACCCCAGCAATACGTGCAAGATGCATAGAGACGACAGCCGTGCATCCACCATATGTACAGTTGATAAAGGGGCCCCGTTTTGTATGAATACAATAACAGCAGATGGTGGCGGTGTCAAAATAACAAAACAGTGAGTCTGTTTCCCGTCTCTGTCAGCAGTAGAGAATACTTGAATCGGAAGCAATGCTTGATTCGGTAATATATATGTCAGAAAAAAATACACAATTTAAAAAGAAATATGTCTATTTCATTTTAGATGTGCCACCAGATACACCTGCCACAACCTTTGGTGGGAGAGAACAAGTCAAAATTCAGCCTGCAGCCAATCAGCTGTCGGATCTGGTCACCTAGCAACAGGAACCACGTGCAGCATATGCTGCGCGGGAAGACACTGTAATGATGACAACTGGCCAACAGATCTGCTCCAGTTTCCTGACACTGTTGTCGTAGGTGAGTGAGTGAGTGAGTCTTAATTAACGCCACTTTTAGCAATATTCCAGCAATATCACGGTAGGGAACACCGGAAATGTGCTTCACACATTGTATCCAGTATTCGAAATAGCCACTAGCCCGCTAGCCCGTGAATAGTAAAAATCCAGTCGGGCCAGTATATCTCTACAGTCACTGGCCCGACTGGCTAGTGAATTTTCATTGGTCATTTTGTAAGTATAATACTCTCTCCGACTTGTTAAGTTATGACACACTTTTATATCATGCAATATTATGGCCTGATAAAAATGTTAATCATATTAGTAGGTTAATGATGACACCCGCGTTGACATTCAAATTTCGGACTAGTGAATTATTTTGTGGACTAGTAACTAGCTTGATGTACCCTTTGTTTATGTTACATAAACACAGAGGGTATATCAACCCATGGACACCTCAATGTTAATTTTGAACCGTTTGAATCACGGGTATCAGATCATAATAAGGAGTACCAGAGTTAGGCAATTAGCCAATACCGATAGACAAGAAAAACAAATTTAGAGTTATCTCCCTTCTTTCGATTTGTATTCGCAAGACATCGGTAATTTTCGTACATCATACATGACTCAATTATTCGGGATAAAGAATTACTAACACGAAGTACCAAATGAATTCCCACATTTCAGCATGCCCAGCGGGTAATACAAAAAATGTTACTCCCTTGTAAGCGGGTACATTGAAAATAATAGAAGAGCGCTAAGCCAATCAGAAAACGGCATTTATGTTCGAGGTAATAATATGTATTGTCTTTCGCGTGCAGGATTCGTTTGATAAAGGAGAAAAGATAGTTTCCACTTCACTGTTCGTGTAAATCGGCTAAAATATTTACTGTTGAAAAGACATGTAATACACTCCGAAAATACAAGGCATTTCTCATTTTGCAAGCCCCCAAAACCACTGCTGCAACGACAACAGCGCCAACAACTTCAACGTCAGCGCCAACATCAACAACACCAAAGCCAACATCTACAACACCGAAGCCAACGTCAACAACAAAGCTGACAACAACACGTCTACCATTTATCCTGCATCATCCCGTGACGACATACCACCCCCACTACCACCACCGGACTACCCATGGGGTACACCACCACACTCCACTTCCAAGCGGTAAGGATATTGTTTGAGTGAAGTGAGGTGAGGTGAAATTGGGTTTAACGTCGTGCTTGAGAATATTGCGCTCATATGACGACGTGCATGCGTGTGTATGTGTATGTGCGGCTGCTTGTACTAGCCCAGACTGAAGCTGGTTTTATAGTGCTAGCCCACTGAGATACCATGCTGCAGTGAAGCATGAACACCCCACTCAGACACATTATACTGACTCCGAGCCGACCAGTCCTTGATGTACCCATTAATGCCGAGCGCCAGGCAGGGACCAACAGGTACCATATTTTAACGTGTTTTGGTATGAAGCGGCCGGGGATCGAACCCGCGAGCTTCTGCTCTCCGGGCGGACGCTCTAACCACTACACCACGGAGGCGGTTTGAGTGAGTGAGTAAGTGAGTATGGTTTTACGCCGCTTTTAGCAATATTCCAGCAATATCACGGAGAGGGGCACCACGAGTGGGCTTCACACATTTACCCACTTGGGGAATTGAACCCGGGTTTTCAGCGTGACGAGCGGACGCTTTGACCATTAGGCTACCCTACGGTCCCGGATATTAGTTGAGTGTTATACAACACAGAACTGTAGTTGGTTGATTGTTTGTTGAAACTATATGAGTGAGTGAGTGAGTGAGTGAGTGAATGAATTTAGTTTTACGCCGCACTCAGCAATATTCCAGCAATATCGCGACGAGGGACACCAGACATGGGTTTAACACTGAAACTATATGAGTGAGTGAGTGAGTTTAGTTTTACGCCGCACTCAGCAATATTCCAGGTATATAAGGCGACGGTCTGTAAATAATCGAACCTGGACCAGACAATCCATTGATCAACAGCACAGTGAGTAAAATCTCATTTAAGTCAATTCTTTCACTATTGATACAATTACCGTCAAGGATTCTGAATTCTCTGTACGAGTAAGTGAAGCATTCGGACCAGCATATCTAATTTTTCGAAAACAAATCTAAACACAGGTTCCTAATGTCGATTGGACTGCGACATTACACTGTTGTGGGTATTCTATACACCTTGTCGTTTCTGAGTGAGTGAGTGAGTTTAGTTTTACGCCGCACTCAGCAATATTCCAGCTATATGGCGGCTTGTCGTTTCTGAGCGTCATGGCATCTACATATCAATTTTGTGTCAATATCTTTACACGATAAAATACACCATATATCTAATCCTACAAAAGAGGGGGCGGTTGGGTAGCCTAGTGGTTAAAGCGTTCGCTCGTCACGCTGAAGACCCGGGTTCAATTCTCCACATGGGTGAATGTGTGAAGCCCATTTCTAGTGTCCCCACCGTGATATTGCTTGAATATTGCAAAAAGCGGCGTAAAACCCAACTCACTCACTCCTACAAAATACCCCAGCTTCGTGGGAATCCCCTTTATTGACAGGTGCCTTTGACATTTTTATAGCAAATATATATAAATAATGTAGCTGATTCCGACTCATGTAATGCAAAAAAGTAATTGATGATAAAATTTTGTGTGGAGTATCGCAGGTGTGTGAGTGTGCTTTTGCGCAATTTTTTATAATTTTCAAAAATAACGACGGTGACAACAATCATGGGGTTCACAAATTGTTATGGCTGTTAATAATGGTCTGCTATTTCACGACCGCATGGGGCAGATAAACCAATATTCTACCTTTTGAACAACGTCTAAAGCAGCATGACATGGGTGGCGTCGTATTCACATTAGCGTCTTCCGACTGGAATCGTTGGGGCTTCCGGCGAGATGTGTCGGGGCTTCCGGCGAAATGTGTCGGAGCTTCCGGCAAGATGTCGCCAATCTTCCGGCGAGATATGTCAGGTCTTCCGGCCAGTGAGTCTGGCCCTCGGGTCAGATGTGTTAGACCTTCCGGCGAGATGTGTAGCGTGCTTTTTAACTGAAACCCATGAGTATCATACAAGCGAAAACTCTTGGTACAAACACATCGAAGATGATGCTGAACATAGGAATAGAATTTAGTGGGGATTGGTGGTTAACCTCTGTGACTTGGCTGACCACGTGTCACTGTACGCTAGATTAGCTGGACGTTGACCTTTCTAGCAATGGCTTGTCTGGTCCAAACTCGATTATTGTTATTGCGCCGAGATAAAGGTTTGTTTGTTGTTTAACGCCGCACTCAGCAATATTCCATCTATATGACGGCCGACTGTAAATAATCGAGTCTGGACCAAACTCCAGACTTAACAGCATTAGCATTGATCTAGGCAATTGGGATACGACGACATGTGTAACCAAGTCAGCGAGTCTGACCATCCGATCCCCTTAGTCGCCTCTTACGAAAAGCATGGGTTGCTGAAGACCAATTCTAACCCGTATCTTCACAGGTACATATATTAAAAACAATATAACAGATTAAATGCATGTTATGTCCTTTGGGTTTTTTTATAAAGTTTTTATTGCATGTTATGTTGCTTTTACTGTTGTTCTCAGCGACGGTGTGTATGCAGTGCGTGGAGGATCCCAGCAAGGGCTTGCACTGTGACCCTGGACATCAGACCCATGTCTGTGGGGGCAGCACTCCCTACTGTATGACGTCATATTACAGTCAGGGTAGCTCGTACAGGATTGAAAAGAGGTGAGGTGTTTCTTCCATCAGGACAAACTCGTGCAGGGTTGAAAAGAGGTGAGGTTTTTTGTTTCTTTAAACTATACCCGTACAGGATTGAAAAGAGGTGAGGTGTTTCTTCCGTCGGCACAAACTCGCGCAGGGTTGAAAAGAGGTGAGTTTTTTGTTGTTGTTACTTTAACCCAAACTCGTGCAGGACTGAAAAGAGGTGAGTTGTTTCTTCCGTCGGTACAAACTCGTGCAAGGTTCAAAAGAGGTGATTTTTGTTGTTGTTGTAACTTTAACCCAAACTCGTGTAGGGTTGAAAGAGGTGAGGTGTTTCTTTAAACTGGACATACTCTCGCAGAGTTGAATATAAGTGAGGTTTGCTCAAACCGGTCAGGACAAAACCCCTATTTTTGACTAGCCCGAAAGAATTGATACAGAGCTGATAAATGCATAACAAACAAAACGAACCGGTCGGAATTGCAACATGGCTGAAATAACGCTTAACGATCTCAAACTGGTTGGTAAAACTATTTTGTCATGTCCTTGGGCATCCAAACTTCTTATCGAAGACATTTTTTTATAAAAATTTAGTTAGCTTGCATTAGCTTCAGAGTGAGTTGGGTTTTAAGGGCGCTTTCAACAGTGTTACAGTTATATACAGTATATTACGGTGTGTATGACAGTTCGGTTCGGAGGCAAGCTACTAGTCTTGCGAATTGGTTGACATCTCTCAATTGATGATTGCTTTATTACCAACAAACAATCATCGCAAAAAATTGGTTAGCGTCATTTTTCAGATTCTCCTATCCAGGTTGTAATTGTAGATATGTATAACATGTTGCAACTTGATACGCTGAAGTGATGACTAATATATCATGAACATAAACTTCCCGGAGTCTTCAAGAAATATGACTTTTCAGTTAGTGAAGTGAATTTTCTAAGAATTTAACAGGTTTTCAGGCCCTGACAACTTCCAGGATATGTTCTATCGTTAAGTATTTCAAAGACTAAAACAGCAGTTCCAGTTTGTGTTCGATTATGAGAAAAATGTGATCGATAGCTTGGTCGTTTGGTCACTTCGACCAATCTTCGATTATTTCAATTAATCGGACAACCACTACAAGCTACACCACATTTGTTCAACCCTCTAGCGCGGGTAGTGACAAACCAACAAATATAACCGGGACGGACCGGGATTCGAAACTGATTTTGATAAATCCGACACACCTGCTCACCCCGAAATTATTAATTTGTTTTTTAAATTAGTAAAACACTCTTTATTTACCACCAACACCCCCACCCACCACCCCACCCCACCCAAATAACAACCCACAAGTAGCCAACGAAAGGAATGAACGTTGTTCCCGCAGCTGCGCAGACCGTAGCGAGTGCTATCAACTTTGGTGGCAGAAAACATCCACAAATCAGGAGTGTTTCCGGGATGACCTTTTGACCTCTACCGGAAGTCGACCCTCTTCCTGTCACTACTGCTGCCGGGCCGTGGGCGTCAGCGCGTACTGCAACAAACTCCCGACACTGGTACCTTCGCATCTGGTGATGTTTGCTGCCCTGCCCACAGGTGAACCTTTTCCCCTTTTCCCTAGACTAACACTTAAAGGTCACATGCAACGTAAAACACAACTTTGCAGATTCTGATACCTTTCAGTATGGACGTAAAATGCAAATTCAACTTATAAAGTTAAAAAGAACGCGATGAAAAACCGCGCGAAATCGTAGTTCAAACACCACTAACATTCCCCCAGCTTGGGGAATTGGAAGCTGGTTTCAACAGCGGGCTGCTACTCATAGCACATGCGCAGTGAAATAGGTTCGCGCGGAGCTTGGAAGCGGGCTGTCCGGGGAATATCTCGGTGAAGGCTTCGGTGTGAGCTATTTTTCTAATGTTTTGTTGATATTTCACAGGCGCGGAGCTTTGATATGTTATTACAGTAGATTACTGATTTAACTGTTTATATAATTTCATTTGTCTATTTCACCACATGTTCTTCTTACCGAGTCACTTCTCAGTTCGATACTTAAAAGCAAATGCTCATTATTTGAGCGAATTTCTAACTGTGATATAGATATGTCGTTGTCACAGACAAAACTCAATGTCTGTTTTATTGACACCTATGTGTCTGCCTGCCCGTCTGCTAATGACAATATTACACAATTTCAATCACTGACCACATGCAATTCGAACTTAACACCTATCAGGCTATACACCATAAACAAAACGCATTGATTTATGGCCCGAGTTCGGTCTCGTCACATTATGTAATTACACTGACAGGCAGGTGTGATACTTGTACACATGACATGTTATGATGTCTGTTGATTGCAAATGTTATACACAAAAATGAGCATGTATTTACAAACCCAACATCTCAATATATACACACACACAATGAGCCGTGAGGGCATCTGCAAATGAACCAGCCGTTACACTTGAGTGCACACCCACCCGCTCTGACTGGGTTCGGTATCCCGGCTGCTTCTGTTTGTTGGGTAATAAAACCTAAGTACAAAATATTGCACTTTTGATTTGCAATTGTACGCTTATAATTTTGTTTTTATGTTTTTTCATAACCAGCAATGTATATTATATGTCATGAATAAGTGATAATTGTGTTTTAATTATGTTTGATTTTTGGTTGCATGTGACCTTTAATGTATAATTTTGATACCGCTACCCTCACCGCCCTGAGGACATTAATGAAATTTGGTATTTCCACCTGGTGATCACAGTTTAGACATTCGGCTATTATATATGTGTCATATGTCCAGACGGGATCTAGTAGCATTGACACGCGATTGGCAATGGCGACTGAACTTTACAGGTAAAAGAGCCTGTAAGTCTCGCGAGGCGCTACTTGCGGCACTAAGCTGGTTCCCGGCTCCCTTTGCGCGCGCCAGCTAGCGATATGCGAGACGGGCCCAGCTTACTTCCGGTACCAGATTTCCGGTGACAAGCGTACATTCAAGAATTAGTTCTGCTTCCAAATTGCGCGACCGCCAGATATGACTTTACTAGACCGGACCAAGTGTACAACCATGCTTGGCTGTCACAGCTGTTGACAGTCGTAATGGTTGGTTAATTTGGGGATGGTTAGATCGGAAATTTGTTATTTCTGCAAGGATTATCGGTTCCTTACTGTCAACTGACAACCATGAGATCATTCCATAAGGTATGAAACGTTGGTTGTCACCTAGAAGTACCAAGGTCTCGCGATGTGCCGTGACCTACGTACGGGCCCTATATCGTAATGCCAATATAATGCTGAATTTGGAAGATAGGATTCGGATCATGAATCTTGTGGCAATGACGGGAAGGCAAAGATTTGGAACGATGCTGCCGAGAGTGTGCAGATTGCACCGACCATGATGCACCATAAAACGTTTTCTTCTGTTCAGCTGTTCAAAGAATATACCTCTATTTGACAGTACCACAGACATCCCCTACGGCAACAAGACCTTCTACAGCTACAACTACCGCAACAACACCTTCTACAACTACGACAACAACACCTACACCTGTAACTACTACAACAACACCTTCTACAGCTGCAACATCGCCTTCTACAGGTGCGTGAATCGTGTGGTTCAGGTACAGAGAGCAGATTGGGGTTTGTAAGGAGGGGTAATGGGTATGGACCAATATATAGCCCCACTATATAGAATTTGCTCAGTGGGTGGCTTAAGGTTATGCGGTGTGCGAAATAGCCGACAGTCAGTAGTGAATCACAGAAATAGCCACTGGCCCGCAATACAATATAAAAACTTGATAAATGATGGTATTTTACCTTTTTACAGTAATTTTTCCTGCATGGTTTAGTTTCCACCATTCAAATTTCTTGCTTGTGAACTACTTTCAGGCATAAACTAGACCGACTGGCTAGAACAATTTGGAAACTATTTCGCACATTGATGTAACCTTTAATATTACCTGTAACCATCATGTCACCATTCTTTACAATAATCAGCTAGACTTTGATATCGCTGAAATAATGATGAAATGGCGTTAAATATGACTCACTCACTCACCCCAGACGTGAAGAGGAATCACTTCAAAACCAGAAAACCGAGTTTATAACTAACGCATTAAGCTTGCATAAGGTCATCGGCAGTTCAAATTTCAAATGTTTAATTCTACCTTGTTGGTGAGGTCAGACCACAGAAACAAGACCTTGGTAATGTTTATATAAATGAAATCCTAAAGTGGTGTTCCCTTTAAATGAAATGAAATGAAATTGAATTAGCTCTATCCAACCCTCACCAAATCCCACCCACATCAAGACTATTTAATGATGGACCCCTTGTAGCCTTGGTGAAAACATATATAACATGATTTTATGATTTTCGGTTATCCATTTATATCATTCTTGTCACTATTTGCGTTCTGCACTAAATGCAATCTGTCTCTTCATATAACGGGGCGGTGGGGTAGCCTAATGGTTAAAGCGTTGGCTCGTCAAGCCGAAGACCCGGGTTCGAATCCCCACAAGGGCACAATGTGTGAAGCCCATTTCTTGTGTCCCCCGCCGTGATGTTGCTGGAATATTGCTAAGAGCGGCGTAAAACCAAACTCAGTCAGTCAGCCAGTCTTCATATAACCCAGACTGGTTATCCTCTTGGTAAAGGTTTAATATTTACACCTGTATGAAGGAGACATTCGTTAAACTCCATTCAGTGAGTACAATGAAATAATTTCTTTTAATATTTTTTAAACCTCAGCGAGCACAACTAAGAGCACATCTGAAGCCACGTCGACGTCACCTTCAACACTGACATCTGCTGGAACAACATCATCAACAGGTGTCACTTACCCAACAGTTGCGACAGCGTGTGTTTGGTGCCATTGTGTTTAGTGTAGAAAAGGGACAAAAACTGATATTTTAGACAAAATGCTTAATTTATCTATTTTATCTATATCACGATATGGCTATTTGTATCACATTAGATATATATTACGTTATATCACATTGTATCACAGTATTCTTTGTTTTTGTTTTGTCTGTTTTTAACGCCGCACTCAGCAATTTTACAGCTATATTACGGCGTCTGTAAAAATCGAGTCCTGACCAATCCAATGACTGACAGCATGAGCATCCGCCTATGCAGCTGGGAACCGATGACATGTGTCAACCAAGTCAGCGAGCCTGACCACCCAATCCCGTTAGTCGCCTCTTACGACAAGCATGGGTTACTGAAGACCAGTTCTAACCCGGATCTTTACGAGTCCATTACTCGTATGAAGATCGCGATGATCCTTAACTTTTCTTGCTCAGTATATATAGGAAACGTCCCTGCATTCGTGGAGACCTTTTTCACAAGTGTTCTGTGTGCATCTTCTACTTTTCTGTACGTAGCGAGGGTCAGCTGTGTGTGACTACAAAGCTCGATATTTATAACTGATTGATCTTCTGTTCCTAAGGAAAGAATCGGTGTCAGGTATGTGTGGATGACGGAGTGACGACGTGTGACGTCACAGATTTGGCTGACTGCCCGGATGACAAGCCTTTCTGCATGAACACACTGGAGGTTGACGGGAAGGGGAACAGGGTTGTCACTAAACAGTGAGTAGAGTTATCGCCCTTTTGTGACGCTGATGTAGAGTCACAAATACACTGGTTGTGTCGACTTTAGCAATATTCCAGCAATACACGGTGGAGACACCAGAAATTGGCTCCAAACATCATTGTAGGGATGTCGATAAGAGCCTTATTCATTAATATAACATCCATAACATGTTGCCGTCATAAACATAACATTAGGATAACCTCATCCTAGATATAACATCTTCGATAACATCAAGAAATTTCACCTCAACAACTCATAGCATCGACATTAACGCCAACGTCAACATCACTTGTCAACACGAGCCCTCTTCCTGCCCAAATCAAAGATTCGGATCTTCGGATCTGGGAGACCACGGTAAAACCCATCCTCGATAATCCCCAGGGTATACGTTACGATCACTCTCCACTATACCCTGAATGCATCCACGGCTTGGCCCGATAATTATATTACCTCCCTTTGCTGGCTTCACATTCTCACAGTAGCCAATCAGCTAAGCCGCCGTTACATCCGAGCTTGCCAGTGTCAACAAAGATAGCGGTCGCATTTGCGAAGGTTTGTTCCCAGTGCCACTCATATTTTTTGGAAAATCATACAGACAAATTGACGGATCTGAAACTTAAAAAAAATATATCAAAGAACTCCTTCTACCTCTTTCAGAGTACCTCTGCATCAATTGTGTTGCCAAGTTTAAACGGTTAGATAATTAAGAAGCGAAAGTGAGTTGTCATTGGTTCGCTCAACTTCCCAGCGTAGACACCTGTTAATGTTAATGTCTGGCACTTACGACCATCTTAGTGCTAAGAGAGCCTATCTTAGCGCTAAGAGAGCTTCGAAAATCTAGGCCCTAATTGGATAAAAAGCCAGCAAAGGGAGGTAATAAAATCATCGGGCCAAGCCGTGGATGCATCCAGGGTATAGTGGAGAGTGATCGTAACGTATACCCTGGAGATTATCGAGGATGGGTAAAACCGTGACTTAAGGGTCTTTTTTGTAATGTACTTATTTCAGTCCATACATATAAAAATCTTATGCTTCACTACTCATTTCAGTCCTGTCGTTGGCATCAACATATCAAAACATCATTCTTTCCCAAATCAAAGATTCGCTTCTTCGATCTGTTCCACGGTAAAACCGTGACTTGGGGCTTGTTTTGTTTATGTACAAGTCCATTCAACATTTATCCGTTCCACAATTTCAACATTTATCCTGGCTTTTAACTTGTGACATGAAATCAATTACCCTGTCTACTGTTGTTGGCATCAACATTAACGTCAGCGTCAACATCACTCGTCAACACGAGCGTCAACCTTAGCCTTCTTCCTGCCCAAATCAAAGATTCAGATCTTCGGAGACCACAATCAATATATATGAGATTTTCTTTACCTAGGTGTGTTAGTGACACGGTGTGTTACTCGGACTGGTGGCTCCAGACTCGAACCCAGACTATGTGTATGGGCAACCTGACCAACATTCCCGCCAGTAGCCACGGGCTGCTCTGCAAGTAGGTGCAATACATATTGATTGTTGTTTTACATATTGATTGTTGTTTTACATATTGATTGTTGTTTTACTTGACGGGCAGCTGTTACCGCATCACGCTTTCATCCTGCTTATTTGATGCTCGCATTTCAGTCCTGGGTAAGTAAGTATGATTTTACGCCGCTTTTAGCAATATTCAAGCAATATGATGGCGGGGGACACCAGAAATAGGCGTAGCACTTTGTGCCCATGTGGGGAATCGAACCCGGGTCTTCGGCGTGACGAGCAAACGCTTTAAGCACTAGGCTACCCAACCGCCCATTAAGAAAGACAAAAGTCATTGTTTCATGTAGTACTGCTGTTGCTACCTCTTATGCTGCTGATAATGATACAAGATCTGATTATAGTGTGATTCCGTCTACCTGAGGTTTTTTTTATCTACTCTACCCGTGAAGGTCCGGGTTAGAATATTGATCTTCAGTAACCCATGCTTGACGTAAGAGGCGACTAACGGGACAGGGTGGCCAGGCTCGCTGACTTGGTTGACACATGTCATCGGTTCCCAGTTGCGCAGATCGATGCTCATGCTGTTGATCCCTGGATTGTCTGGTCCAGACTCGGTTATTTACAGACCGCCGCCATATAGCTGGAATATTGCTGAGTGCGGCGTAAAACTAAACTCACTCACTCACGTCTTATCTACTCTCCAGGTGGTGCTGTAATGACACGTCACCAGGGACGACCTGCAACAGCAACGTCAAACCAGACAACCTCGTGCAGTACGCCATCCCAACAACATGTAAATCTCTCAACGTGTTTACACATTCTCGAAACATTATTTCTTGCACCACTGCATATAGATAAACCTTGATCAAACTTATCAACTATTTTTACGAAGTCCCGAATCAATCGGCTTATCCAAAACTTGTTGATGTCTTCGTCTGTTGTGTAGCGCCTTCTACAACCACGACATCAACAACAACAACCACCACCACAACGACGACGCCTAAATTAGGTACATGGTTTTATTCATAAACCCCCATCTTCCCAAGGCAAGGAATTTAAGTGTCTATATAACACCTGTTCCCGCATTTATAGTTATGCTAACTCAAGAAACACCACGCCCGGCATCGGCTATGAAACATATGCAAATTACGTTAAAAAAAAAACCAACATCGCTCTTGAAAAAAGTGATTAGTTTCACTGAAATATCGTGTCTAATCGTAGAAATATTAAAGTACACATGTATTCATCTTTTCAGTTAGTTCTGGAACATTTTGAAACTAGTATGATTCCTACTGCCATTACATCTAGCATGAATTAAAACTTACTTCGTCAAGAGTAATCCTGCGACAACTATAAGGTCATTTGCATATTTTCCGTCCTAAAACTATAACAGGAAGTGACGTATTAGTCACCCTGCACACGGCGGCAAATCTATGGTACGCGGGAAAAGATTAACCATCAGTCAACTGAAAATATGTATAAAATGCCAAATGTCAGTAGGCGTTCATAATCCTGATAGCAACAACATAAACTGTAATAATAGAGGGTCCCATGAAGTAACCAATGCAACCATATCGCGAATCGAACCCGGATTCTGTGTTTGTTCAGATTCCGAGAGTTAAAAAAAAGCCTTAAGTAGTAGATGAAACAAAGAATCGCGAAAAGTCACTAAAGAGACAATAAATAATAATATATTATCATATATTTCAGTGAACCGTTGTCAGGTATGTGTGGATGATGGAGTGACGACATGTGACGTCACAGATTTCGCTGACTGCCCGGATGACAGACCCTTCTGTATGAACACACTGGAGGTTGACGGGAAGGGGAACAGGGTTGTTAGAAAAGAGTGAGAAGAGTTAAATATATATTTAATACAAAACTTCAAAATTACAGTGCAAGATCAGGTTTCTAGTGACATACAGACAATATGTCCTGTACAAATATAGCCGAAGTTCGACACAACGATAGACAGTAAACGACGGTTAAAACGAACTAAAGGGGACCTCTAAACTTAGTTCGTTATGATCGTATTCGTTTCACGCATTTCGACTGAAATATTGAGCAAGTGTCCGAGACATCAATAAAGACAACAAAACAGTTCGTAACATCCGTCAGTTCGTAATAAGCATGTTCGATATAACGTAGTTTAATGTATTGGTCTCTACCGAGAGGGTAACGAATGTATAGTGCAATGCTATGTCAAACAAACAGTGAGTAAGTTTTAGTTTTACGCCGCACTCAGCAATATTCCAGCTATATGGCGGCGGTCTGTAAATAATCGAGTCTGGATCAGACAATCCAGTGATAAACGGCATGAGCATCGATCTACGGAATTGGGAACCGATGACATGTGTCAACCAAGTCAGCGAGCCTGACCACCCGATTCCGTTAGTTGCCTCTTACGACAAGCATGGGTTACTGAAGATCAATCCTAACCCGGATCTTCACGGGTGTAACACAAACAGACTTACCTTATATGGATTGATGACCATTTGTAAGTGTAACGAGATTCTATATACTCTTACGAATCTAATTATAGCTGACAGCGTTGGGAGTTCCGTTAGGAGTCCTTGAATAGGGCCGGTGGATGACGTTGTTCAGTTATGTTTCTCATGTCAAATATAACTGGAATGAAAACAAAATATTTTTTTCCACACCTGCAAGCTTATAAACTTTAAAAAATCTTTAAGGAACTAGTATTACCAATTACTTGTGAGAAAGTTCAACACTTTCATTAACTCTACGTAGCGCTCTACATTGACATAGTTTTATATGTTTCATTCAAAGGCTCGAAATGCACTTTTAATCACAGGTGTGTAAGTGACACGGTGTGTTACTCGGACTGGTGGCTCCAGACTCGAACCCAGACTGTGTGTATGACCAACCTCACCAACATACACGCCAGTAGCCACGGCCTGCTCTGCAAGTATGATCACAATCACTATGTATATATCATATGGATAATAATAAAAGTATTAATACCAAATCTGACCTGAAAACTGATAAATAGAACATATGTTAGATGGAATATGTGCCGAAGCTATCTCAGCTCTAAATATAAAATAATACAAGCTATGTTAAACCTGGCATTCTTATACAAACGAATCATTGCCTATTGATTATAACGGGATCTCGGAAAGCACTTTTTTATAAGGGTGGTGTGTTAGCCGAGCAGTTAAAGCGTTCGCTCGCCATGCCGAAGACCCGGGTTCGCTCCCGCATGGGTACAATGTGTGAAGACCATTTCTGGTGTCACCTGGCTTAATATGTCTGGCGTATATCAACTGAAATATTGGTAAAAGGGGCGTAAAACCAAATCCTCTTCCTGTAAAAGGGGTTTGTGTTGTGTAGAGGTACATCATGTACAAGGGGGGCGGTGGGGTAGCCTAGTGGTTTAAAGCGTTGGCTCGTCACGCCGAAGACCCGGGTTCGAATCCCCACATGGGCACATTGTGTGAAGCCCATTTCTGGTGTCCCCCGCCGTGATGTTGCTGGAATATTGCTAAAAACCAAACTCAGTCAGTTAGTCATGTACAAGGCATTCCAGGATCCGCTAATCCGCACAGTTGACTGAATACCAAATTATCTCCCTTGCATCATGATGTGTCAGTACCATACGCAAGCAAGAATCTACGAAATGGCCGGGTCAGTATCATTTCGGACGATATTCCCGAATTATCTTCCCTTGATAGATATGAAATACTGATATTACAATGATCCACTCACTCACTCACTCTGTAGATGGTGCTGCAACGATACGTCTTCAGGCACGTCCTGCAACAGTGACGTTCAACCACACAACCTCGTACAGTACGACATCACCACAACAGGTAGTTCAAAACGCAAAGCCTGTTTTACATTTTCTTTGTGTTGAAAGTTCATATCGTTTAAGTGATTGATGTCATGAGAATCGATCTACGCAAATGGGATACGATGACATGCATCAAGCAAGTCTCCGAATCTAGCCACCCTATCAATATAGTCGCCTCTTAGACCCATGAAGATCCGGGTTAGATTTGATCTTCTGTAACCCATGATTGTCGTAAGAGGCGACTAACGGGATCGGGTGGTCAGGCTTGCTGACTTGGTTGACACATGTCATCGTATCCCAATTCCGTAGATCGATGCTCATGCTGTTGATCACTGGATTGTCTGGTCCATACTCGATTAGGCTACTTACAGACAGCCGCAATATAGCTGGAATATTGCTGGAATATTGCTGAGTGCGGCCCGAAACTAAACTCATCCACCCGACTCTTGTGACAAGCTGTCTATATGTCAAGGAGGCTCCTGGGGAACTTCAGGCTTACTCGGAATCTCCGTGAGTCACACGTATGAGGTACGTGGAACCAATTCCTCCCCAGAATCCTAACTGGGAACATGGAAGTGAGCGTGATGAAGGAAGACATGAGTATATCTGATTCATAATATATACTACTCACATTTTGCTAAGGATCACAAAAATTCACAACTTTACTTAAACGTAAATTTATATTTTGAAATTGTATCCATTTAAGACTGGATAAATAAGGATATGGTACGTAACCCCTCTTTAGGCAAACGGTCACTTTAATCTAACCTTATGCACTTGAGACATGAGTAAGCATAAAAATGGTTTTCAGAGCACCAAATCATCCATTTTGCAAATCAGGGAACGAGTCATTGAAAAGTACACAACACCTGTCAATAGCAGGAATTGAATCCACAAGATGAAATGACATACTGAAACCTCGGATCCATGCTTACAATAGGCTTAGATATTTACGCCAAATTTGACCCCCACATCATAGTTTTCTGTTGATTCCATGATTTGATCCTTAGCAAAGTGTGAGTGGGTGAGTTTACTTTTACGCCGCACTCAGCAAAATTCCAGCTATATGGCGGCGGTCTGTAAATAATCGAGTCTGGATTAGACAATCCAGTGATCAACGGCATGAGCATCGATCTGCGCAATTGGGAACCGATGACATGTGTCAACCAAGTCAGCGAGCCTGACCACCCGATCCCGTTAGTCGCCTCTTACGACAAGCATGGGTTACTGAAGATCAATATTCTAACCTGGACCTTCACGGGTCTAGCAAAGGGTGAATAGGAATGAAATAGACGGGAATAATACATTGAACACCTTCTCACAATGCTGTAGCGTATAATACATATATGTTGTAGCTACAACGCCAGTGTCTACAACACACACAACTACTACAGTGCCATCAACGTCAACAGTGTCATCAACGTCTACAGTGCCAGCAACGTCTACAGTGCCATCAACGTCTACAGTGCCATCAACGTCAACAGTGCCATCAACGTCTACAGTGCCATCAACATCGAAAACGATGACAACAACTACGCAAAAATTAGGTATGTCTCTGTGTTTAACTCGCTTTGGAGGCATGTATAGTAATATTTTAAGCCTACTAAAGAATAATCTTTGATGGCCAGGCGAAGACACGTATTAAAAAGAAATAAATAAGTTCAGGTTTAACGCATTAGCCGGTATTGTGACAATGACATCCCGTAGCCGAACGGTATCATTCACACTTTATTCATCCGGGTCAAACGGTAAAATCGTTTGTATACACATACACGTTCGTAACAGAATCGCCCGGAAAGTGGGATGTCCTGGTTAAAGGGGTCCGTTTTATCGAGGTTAACACAGATTAACTATTAATAGAAAGTCAGTCGACTAGCTCTCCTCATGTGGCAGTTCAATGTATCCAGCTAGATTTATCTACTTATCGTTAAGTCCTCTTCCTTATCGGGGCGGTCGGGTAGCCCAGTGGTTAAAGCGTTTGCTCGTCACGCTCAAGACCCGGGTTCGATTCCCCACATGGGTAGAGTGTGTGAAGCCCATTTCTGGTGTCCCCCGCTGTGATATTGCTGGAATATTGCTGAAAGCGGTGTAAAACTCACTCACTTACTGTCGAACTGGCTAAAATAGCGATGGTGTCTCAAACATGAAACACATGGTTATTCAACTGCTATGAATTTGATACGGGGATCACAGATTTGCGTTGGACCCCCAAATTCACCTACCTGTACCTATAACTATGTGAATCAGGTCCGATGAGGTCCAATGACGTCATCCGTTTATCAACGTCACCAGTGACGTAATATTGCAAGGGACATAAGTCATGGTGTGTTTATGGTGGAAATAGAACTCGCGGTAAATGGTAAAAGAATGAACCCACAATTTAATGGAGAAACATATATATTAAATACTTGTAATGTCTGTATTTTGATTCTTAAACTACTGGGTAAACATTTTTTTTGTTGAAGAATTGCAAAAAAAATGAAAATGTTTTTGTGTGAATTTGTCCCTTCGCAACTGTTTCAGGGACTGTTTTCACCCGTGTGACCTTTGTAAATTTGGGTCTATCCAATTTTCAAGAGAGCACTTTATTTGCTCTACAGTTAGTAACTGTGCACATTACCAGAATCATCAAACTAAACCACAGATTGATGTCGACATCGCTAGAGCTTGATCAATAAATGTAAGCAATCAGTGGTAGCGAGGGTGTGTAATGTGTTGATGCTGGTCATGTACAACCAGTAACCATCGATCGTCACAGTAATAAGACACTTGTTGTAGTCGTCAAACCAAGGTTGTTTATGTTAAGTTGACAGGGAAACATACACATTCAGGGATTCCTGCTTAATTGATTCTATAGGCATCATACATGATGGGACGGCCGGTTCTATAGTAAAGGCTGAGATGTGTATGAGAAACTATTCTGAGGACAGTCCTTGCCTATAGCACAAGTTTTATTATTTTAAAAAAACCCAAATGCACGAGCCTGCTGTTTCTTTTTTTAAGATTTTCGTAAACAAGGTATATTTTTGGGGTAACTAAAGATAAGAAATTATAAAACCCGGTATACACATGTATGTATGCTTGCATATGTACATATTGATTTTCTTGTAAAGCTTAACGGAATTATTTGGTAACTAAAGATAAGCTGTCACAAAACATGCATCCAAACCGGAAAATCCACAATATTAAAAGCAAGCTTTGGCTAAAAATCTTATAACATGAAATATGGAAAAGAAAAAAAGACTGAAATAAATACACAAGTCAACCAAGTAACCAAAGAGCGTAAAATTCAGTCTCTTTAAAGGTCACATAAACCCTAGGGGGTACAAATACATAAATCACTAACTGGCATCGTTATAAATGAAACCCCGTCATTAAAACTACTAATTTCGACCTTTAATTGACTTAAATCGACCTTTTTGACAACAGTGCACAATTCTCACCCGCGAACGAAATTTCAACCAATCAGAGCGGCGCGCCTCTGTGACGTCATATGAGGAATAGCTTTGAGGGCCGATGCAGAATTCATCTACATTTTAGGGGGTAAATTATAGTGTTTACAGGCTTGTATAAACCTGAAATCGTGACAATTGTTGTGGAAAATGAAAGCTATATGTTCTCACAATCTACTGTCATTTAATTTTGTCTCCTGCTTTGCCTAGTTTCCGAGTTACAACTTGTTTTCATAGACGATTCTGTCAAAATCGTTTGGTGCCGTTAGGCCCTATTTGTATAATGACTGATCCAAATTGATCCCATTTCTGTGTTGTTTTACCTCGATATTTAATCATGTCATGTAAAAATCTGTTTGTATTCTCAAAACAGTGTCGGCCCATAAGTTTTCACATGCAATACAGCAATTAATACTCCCTCGTTGTAACCCGTGTTAGGTGGTATAAACCTACACATGTTATTTGTCATCATTCACTTGATGGTCAGTTAATGAATTTATAACAGGTATAATTAGTGGTAACACACTTAGATTACCCGACAAAGGTTCCCATTTGGCATTTCTTGTGTCTGGAGTAAATATTCAACATTATAAACATCGATCAAAGGATTAACCGATAACACGCTGATTGATTAATTACTTTTATCTTACACAGCGGAATTGTCAAAAGGTAGTGTTTATGTATGTAGATTTACTAATCTATACTGAATACACTCTGCCGTGTCGGTGTCTGCGTAAAACAACGTCCTTCTTTCAAAGGATTAACCGGCAATACATTGATTGATTGCCCATTATTGGCTAACTAAATTACTGTTTTAAAGAAAGGCGGACATTATGCAATTAGTTGCCAGGTGTGCTATCTTGGGTGACCAATGAGACTATACATCAATACCTGAAAAGATTTATCACTTTTTCGTATATTAAACTGTTAAAAGACACATCATTTGGAACAGTTTTGTGGATATTGATGGATACATTCCTCGAACAAGGTAATGGCCTGATATTGTTCCTATAACTTTAATCTGTTTTAATTTTAATATTTGCATTTTGTTTTTATTCATTTGTCGTAGCATTCAACAGAATCATTGTTTTCGCCGTGAAGTGTAATGAGACAGACAACATGCACTAGGGTGTGTGTGCGAATTATGATTCACATTGGCAAACTATAAAATGTCTAGATATTACAGTTCTGTTATAAATTCACTATAAGTATCAGCAGATCGTCAGCTTTTTATTTAGTTTCAAAATGCATACAAGTGTGATAATAAACTAATTAGGATTATAAGACCAAATATTAAGACGCACATTGACTAGTATCTACATACTGGTGAGTGGACATTAACCATGGGAATGTAGCAAGAAATTTATCGCGCAGTATTGTGACTTCGACCCCACCTCGCTTCCGTGGAAGAATTCGTTATGTTATAAGTTGTGTCATGCAAAATCCGTTTGGTTATGATTCCAATACATATTTAACAACGAGTAGAAAGTAGTCTTGATTTTATAACTTGTTGAAAACAAACTATAATCTCATTAATTCTAACAGATTTTTTGATTTTGAAAAATGGCGGCACCCTGTCGAGAACATCCGCCAGTCTGAGGATAAATGGTATTTAGGTTTGTTTTCACCGAGCTACAAAATCAAAACTACTTTCTACTCGTAGAAAAATATGTATTTTATTGATGGCCGATAGGATTTTGCATGACATAGCGTATATCATAACAATTTCTCTCGTGGCAGCGAGGTGGGTGTCAATATAATATTACTTACAATATTATTGTTACTTCGACCACAACCTCACTTCCGAGGAAGAAATCGTTATGTTACAAGTTGTGTCATAGAAAATCTTTATGGTCATCAATCATATGCATATTTTACTACAACTAGTAAGTAGTTTTGATTCTTTAACTTCCGTGAAGCGATCTGAACACAAGTAAGATATCATTTCAGGCTTCCACAACGCTCGCTTCGCACTCACAATCATAACCCATTTAGCACGAACTGCGGGGTCCTGTGGAAATCTGTGCATGGGGACACCATCGCCCGACCCCTAGGAGCAATTGACGACAAAGCAACGATTCGGCATGTCGTCGTTGATGTCGAGAAATCATCAAAATGATGAGCGTGCTACACATTTTCTATACAACTAACTGAAAATCGTTCCTCATATGACGTCACTGCAGTGCTCTGGCGGCAGAGTTACGTAACCTGTCTGTGGTTTCGTTGGCGGGCGAGAGGGAAGCAGGCGACTTTTTGGCCACTTTTAATCGCTCGGTATTAATTAACCACAAGTTTTTAAAGAATAAATTTGGTGTTCCGCATAAGACTAACCACAAATCTTTCATATGTAATGGTTAAAAGAGTAACAAAAAACAAAGTTTAGTGGTTCTTTAAGTAATAACGATTTACTCTCCATCAAACATATTATTCACAATATCGTGTTCGCTACCAGGGCAGCATTTATATTTTTTTGTGTTTCTCATCGCCCGACCGACCCTTCTAATTTGATTTCCCGACCCCCACCCGCCAAAAAAAATATAATAAAAAAAATAAATAAAAAAATAAAATAAAAAATTGTTTTCATTCCAACACCGATGACTCGAACCTAAAACGCATCGCCTCGTCATATAAAATGTTTATCTTCTAATCAGACGCTGCCACAAGTCCACAGAACGCGAGAAATTGCAATAAGAATTACAATAAATGAGAATTCAGAACATTATTCAGATAATTTTGTCTTTATTAAGTTTTTGTTTTTGTTCTTTTTACCCGATCGACCGACCCATGTTCAGAATTTGGTCGCTACGTGAAAAACATAAAAAAATTATTCCCTTAACAAAACAACCTCCAGAATCCCAAAATGACCAATATCTTGTCAACATGCATGCGGGAGAGCATCTATTTAGTTGTCAGGGAAGTGGTACAATTTCATTCCAATTCCTGTCGTGCGTACGCAGGCACGTTGCCAGGTTACTTTAAAAATGGAGCCATATCTAAACCTGGAAGGTTTTATTTTGGTCAAAAGTAATTGAAACAAAAGCCTCTGCTCACTTAATTCGTTTCAAATCAATTTTAATTTAACAAACGCAGGGAGACTGTCATTTTCTTTCTAAAAAGAGGTCGCCAATGAGTACTAACTGTCGTCTGAGCGCACCCAACGAGAAATAGAGTAGACAAGGGCCCAGTTTTAGCTGACAGTCGCGCCAGTGAGATTGTGTAATCGCCTTTGGTTAGGGCATGTCTTATATAAAGAGTAACAAACGCCGTTGTTCTGTACATAATCATTTTAGAAGTAGACCTATTTTGAGAATAATGAGGTTTCCAGTACGAAAACACTACATTTGGAATATTTGCGATATATCTTTATATTGTCTTCACTAATTTTCAATATAGTTTTTATCGAACGCAGCTGAAAATGCTTTTCGGACATTTTTTAAAAACACTTTTGGGTATGTTGTTCAGGCTCGGATACACATACACAGTGCCGTGCACGTGCTGCCTGATGTGTACATGTATATTGTGCATGCCCAAGGCATGCTCTGGCAAGCTGTCAGCCATATTGGGTTCGAACTTGGCATACGACAATTCTTTATCCACCAATAATTAGAGAGGGTCGGCTGGAAAAGAACTTTTAGGGTTTGGATTGGTTTGAATGTTGTTTAACCCCGCACTCAGCAATATTCCAGCTAAATGGAATCTAAATAATCGATTCTGGGCCAGAAAATCCAGTGATCAACAGCATGAGCACCGTTCTACTTATTTGGGATACGATGAAACGTATCAGCCAAGTGTAAAAGAATAAAAAGGACGATGTTAGAAGTACTGTCGGAAATAGAAAAAAACTGTTTTTAGGCTGTCACTCTGTATCCCTAAAAGTTACACAATTGCAAATAGCATATGTCGAAATAACCCACTTCTGTCTAACTAGGCGTTCAGTGGGATGCGTAATACGATATCCAGAAAAGCATGTTTACTTGTAAAATCGGGCAAAACTTAGAAAAAATACGAATAGCTGCTGAAACAATAGATCAGGCTATAGATGGCAATTAGGTCGCTCAGCCAGGTATGACGACGGACCGTCGACTCACCTGACATGAAATGCATGTGCTGCCTACAGGCACAAGGGTTCATCTCAAAGATATTTTGTGCTTTTTCATGTGTGTTGTCTATGTCTCATCTATTGATTAACATTTTAAGTGTCTTTCTTTCATAAATGTTATGTTGAGATATGTAAAAGAATATGATACTCGAAAACCATAGAAACGCATCGTAGTATATAGGTGGCATGACCACCCGAAGATCGACAGGGCTGGATGTTATTTGTAAATTGTTATGACGTGCCGTGTACCTCCCCAGTATAATTGCCCTAAAGGGTTATCTTATCTTAGCTGATATCTCTATCCCCAAGCCCGACCCCAGGTTTTGCTTTTGAGGCAACCCCTCCTATCTGTTTGTTTCTATAGTGACAGTGAGACTCCATGGTAGCTACATCCTTGATAGTTTCAGCATAAAAGTTATTATTTTTTTACGTCAGCTATCATTTATAATGAATCTACGTCTAATTTCAAATTAGGCATTTAAAAAGTGTCCTTTGTAATACAATATCGTCGCACACTAATTTGCATAAAGCCATGGTCTGTTCCAAATAAGTCTTAACCGCATTGCTCAGTTCTGCACTAATTTCCCCTGAGTAAAGTCCTTTTTCTCCGTTTCCTATCTCCCTACCACTGAGACTGTAGTTAGGCCGAACTTAGTTTCAGAGATATTTCACACTTTCACATATCAACTACATAAATGGTAGAGATAAATGAGAGAATACAGGTTTTTTTTCTATTTCCGACAGTACCAGTGACTATTTTTCTTTCTGCTCCCTAGTGAAGAACCGGTGTCAGGTATGTGTGGATGACGGAGTGACGACATGTGACGTCACAGATTTCGCTGAGTGCCCGGATGACAAGCCTTTCTGCATGAACACACTGGAGGTTGACGGGAAGGGGAACAAGGCTGTCACTAAACAGTGAGTAGAGTTATCGCCCTTTTGTGACGCTGATGTTAATCGTAACCGCTCAAGTTATTACTGGGGCGGCGGGGTAGCCCAGTGGTTAAAGCATTCGCTCGTCACGCCGAAGACCCGAGTTCGATTTTCCACGTAGGTACAATATGTGAAGCCCATTTCTGGTGTCCCCGGCCGTGATGTTGCTGGAATATTACTAAAATCGGCGTATAACCATATTCACTCACTTACACACTCCAGTTATTCCGGGACAGGCCGATGCTAGCTCACGTCAAGATGAGATCGACCATATATAGTATTTCCAGAAATTGTTGAGAAAGTTGTTTCGGCAAATATCTAATACTAGTAAACTATAAAGTGAGTGAGTGAGTGAGTGAGTAAGTGAGTGAGTAAGTTTAGTTTTACGCCGATTTAACATTATGACAATATTCCACCACTATTACGGCGGGGGACACTAGAAATGGGCTTCACACATTGTACCCATGTGGGGAATCGAACCCGGGTCTTTGGCGTGACGAGCGAACACTTTAACCACAAGGCTACCCCACCACCCCTGTAAACTATAGAAGTTTCACTTAAATGAATATGTTGAGATATGATTCTCTTACAGTCTAAGTGTCTTTTCAGTACTTTGTGAGACCTCCTTGCCCAGCCGTACGCGACTGAATGTGTCTAGGTACACTACCGATTAAAGTTTGTAGGAAATCATGTGACAGCGTATCCCAATATTCGACCACTTCTTTCTTTACATCCTCAATATTTCTTAGTCCTTTTTGGTTTATTCGGTCCTTTATTAGTCCAGACACATTCTCAGTAGGTTTAAGGTCTAGGCTATAGCTGGGCCAGTCTAAAACTTGAACATTTTCGTCCAACAACCACTGTTTTGTGAAGCCCGCAGTGTGGTTTGGGTCGTTATCTTGCTGGGAAATCCAATTACCCTTCATACAGTGTTCGGGCCGTTGGAAGGATTTGATCATTTAAGATGTCAACATATCGTCCCTTCGTCAAATTTCCAGTGAAAATACCAAACTTCGTCACACCACGTGATGATATCCCATCCCACATGTGAAATTTTGGGCTGTGTTTTGGGTGTTGGTAGAAAGGTTTCATGGTATCTTTTGTCCAAATGTTCACAAAGTTCGGAAAAAGCCAGACAGAACTTTCATCAGAAAAGAAAACATTACCCCAGTCTTGATTTTCGTGAGCCCTACACCAGTTTAAACGTCTTTCTTTTTGTGCATCTTTCATAAATGGTGAGGGAATTCGCGCTTTCTCACACAGTTAAGTCTTTGTAATTCTTGTCTAAGGGTTTCATTACATATCTGAGGATTTCCTCTATTAATTATCTCATTTTTGATATTCTCATCGCGTTTCAATTTCCCCCTACCCACAATCTGACCAAGTCGCCTGCGATCAGTAACTGAACTTCCTTGACCTCCCTGCCCCTGTCTTGTGCTCAGTCCCAACTCATGACTGAATATTCTTCAAAGTTCTGTAAACTGCAGACAGAGGAATGTCATGTCTACCAGCTAACTCTTTTGCATTAGTCACACCCCTTTCAAAATCATCTCGAACCAGCTTTCTTTTATCTTCTGCTGTCAAATCTGCTATGTCAACAAAAGAAGCCTCCAACACCAGGGGAGATAACTCTTGATGTCGTAAGGTTCATTCTTAGAGTTGCCTCCCATATTGAGAACCTTTACTACATAATGTAACACCTATTTTAATATTCTATTATCAGTATTAGGAAGCAAAGATTTTCTCAATAATTTCTGTGAAAACTGTAAATGTTATGCGGCCTCCTACAGTGATTTCCACACCCCATTTCCTTTAAGAACAAAGGCTTTAAGAACCACCAAAAGACGTTAAAATATGGTACTTGTTGGTCCCTGCCTGGCGCTCTGCATTAATGGGTACAACAAGGACTGGTCGGCTCGGAGTCAGTATAATGTGTTTGAGTGGGGTATTCATGCTTCACTGCGGCATGGTATTTCAGTGGGCTAGCACTACAAAAACCAACTTAAGTCTGGGCTAGTACAAGCAGCCGCACATACACATACAGGCGCATGCACGTCGTCATATGAGCGAAATATTCTCAAGCACGACGTAAAACCCAATTTCACCTCACCTCACCTCACCCTCACCTTTAAGAGCAATTTACTAACATGTACAATTTTCGATATTGTTTCATTTTCTTTCATTATTAGTCGACATACTTTGTTTTGTTTCTTGTTTAACGCCGCACCCAGCAATATTAAAGCTACACGGCGGCGGTCTTTAAATAATCTAGTGATCAACAGCATGAGCATCTATCAACGCAACTGGGATACGACGCCGTGTGTCAGCAAAGCCAGCGAGCCTGACCACCCGATCCCGTTAGTCGCCTCTTACGACAAGCATGGGTTACAGAAGATCAATTCTAACCCGGATCTTCACGATATAATTTGTTAACTTCAGATGTGTAAGTGACACTGTGTGCTACTCGGACTGGTGGATCCAGACTCGAACCCAGACTGAGTGCATGGCCAACCTCACCAATATACACCCTAGTAGCCACGGGCTGCTCTGCAGGTATGTGGATTACAGCTCAGTTCTGGATGTTATGAAAAAAATAAAGAATGTGTGAGTGAGATTTGGGCTACTTTTCGGCATCAATTTATCAATATCGCTGCGGACGGCGTAAGAAACAAACCCGCGTCTCTGATCTGGCGATCCAGGGCCTAGATATTCGAAGCTTTCTTAGCGCTAAGATAGTCGTATGTACCACACATTAACATTAACTTATCTTAGCGCTAAGAGAGCTTCGAAAATCAAGGCCCAGTGCTATAATGGCCAGATGATCTGGCCTCCCTGTATACTGTTTGATAACCGACCTCTCACCCTGAATAAGCGAGTGAATAAGATTTGATATCGCATTTAGCAATAGTCCAACAATATCACGTCGCGGGACACCAGAAATGGGCTTTTAACATTGAACTTATTTTGGGAATCGAACTCGGGTCTTCGGCGCTTTAACCATTGGGCTATCGCTCCACTCCCTGACTTTTGACCAAGCGTCATTCCTGTGACGACGTTGTCTGTTGGTTAAATGTTTTGTCTCTTTTACCATTTCTTACCGATTCCAGCTATATTCTTCCCCACGACTAATATGTCGTCTCTTTTACCTTGTCCATTTTCTGTAGATGGTGTTGTAACAACACGTCTCCGGCCACACCCTGTAACGAGAACACCACACCATCCAACCTCGCTCAGTACGACATCATCACGACAACAGGTAGGCCCACACATAGTTGAGTAGGTGAGTGGTTTGCGTTTTAGTAGTGATTACAGTATGGATTATGCTGGCTGAGGGGAGTTATTGGAGTCTGACTGGTGGCAACGATTTTAAGTTTTGCTTTAATAAAAACACCATACCTCCCCATCTCCATCCCCGACACACAAACACACCCACGCACGCACGCACAAAAAAAAAAACAGAGAAACAACAACCCCACAACGACAACAAAAAAACAACAACAAAAACCCAGCAACAATATAACAAGAACAACCACAGAAACAAACGGCAACTATGCAACTAATAGCAACCAAGTCATATTTAGCGCTTTCGTAAATTCGTCTATTACCACATCTTCTGCAGCAACGTCTCCAACGCCATCGGCAAGTAGTTTCACTGCGTCTCCATCTCCAACACCAAGTAGGTTCATCAATACAGCTTCTACAACACCGTCCACTACGGCGACATCCAGTAATTCCTTCAACACAACGTCTGCGGTACCGTCCACTACGGCGACATCCAGTAATTCCTTCAACACAACGTCTGCGGTACCGTCCACTACGGCGACATCCAGTAATCCCTTCAACACAACGTCTGCGGTACCGTCCACTACGGCGACATCCAGTAATCCCTTCAACACAACCGTCCACTACGGCGACATCCAGTAATTCCTTCAACACAACGTCTGCGGTACCGTCCACTACGGCGACATCCAGTAATCCCTTCAACACAACGTCTGCGGTACCGTCCACTACGGCGACATCCAGTAATCCTTCAACACAACGTCTGCGGTACCGTCCACTACGGCGACATCCAGTAATCCCTTCAACACAACGTCGACGGTACCGTCTACTACGGCGACTGCTTCAACAAGTGTGACAGCAGCGACTACATCAACGTCCTCGGCTAAGCCAACATCAAGTGGCAAAGGTAAATATGATCAGCAATCAGTCAGACAGGCGACCACGTCACTACCGTGATCATTGGACGCAATCATCTCTTTAACTTAAAGTCAGGTGGTTACAACTTGTAATTTGGCTGATCAATGATTGTGGGTTGTTGGTCATGATATCAACCACTGGTTTAACTGATCGAGATGGTTATTAGAAAAATAATGTCTGTGACCTGCAACACGTCGAATATTCCTTCCCCACCAAGCCGACAGGCTTTCATAGGACTGCACGGTACAACAGGCACCGGTGACAAACGGCTGGTGGAACAGCGCCGGCTGTTTCCTGACATGTAGGGGTCATCTCACCTGGCTGTGCTGAGCTGCACCTGAAGTGCGTGGCGGCGCTGTTCCACCAGCCGTTTGTCACCTCTGTGTGAAGCGTGAAAATAGAACAATATTACATGATAGTTTCTTAGACAACTTTTTCCGTAATCGATCATAAAACATCATATTTCAGATCCTTTTGGGTACAGAGGTTGCACGACCATGTGTCTTATTTATTTTTGTGTGAGCACTTATCCCTATTTCGAGTTATTTCATCATTCATCGTTCTCATTTGAACCCAAACGGACTGTAGAGACCAAACAACATTCGAGTTAGAGTCTTCAGCAACCTATTGAAATGATTGATTTTATTTCAGAAATGTAGGCCATCCGGCCCATAATTCACATACATAGTCCTTTAATATACTTGACAGAGTGCCTCATTATTTAAATTATGACATGTGACAATATTTGATTGATTTACCAACAACATTTAAATATGCTAACATGATACATTTAAATCATTTACAATTGTTTTCAATCCAGTTTTGTCTTAATTTAAAGCTGTAAAATATAAAAGCTCCTAACTTCCAGGCGTGCTGCTTGTTACAAATTGACATGATATTAGTAACATTATAATAATATTTTGCAATATGTATGTATTCATTTCTTAAGTTTTCATACAATGGACAAATTAAAAGAAAATGTTCTTCATCCTCAAGCAATCTTATTGAATAAATCTTTTCACAATGTAAACACACTCTATTTTCAACTGAAATACTTTCCCAACGTCCTGACTCAATACGTAAATTATGGTTCCCACAGCGAAATTTGGTCAAAACCTTTTAAAAAGTTGTGTGTTTATGTTAATGAAATATGGTTCAGGTTGAAGTGAGAACTTAAATTTTTCATAGAAACTTAATTTAACATTTAAAGCAAGCTATTATTGCCATAAGAATCAACTAACGGGATCTGGTGGGCAGGATCATCTTGGTTTATGCATGTTATTGTATCTAAATACATAGACAGTGTATGAAACAAGCCAAAAACCCAGCCAGACATCAGGGCTGGTAACTTCAAATAATTATTGTTACCAGTCGAAAATGGATTTAACCAGACCAAACACCAAGATATGTTGAAATATACTCACATTTGCGAAAAAATGTTACCAGACCATCAGGCTAGCTGTAAAATTAGACCGTCCGTCAGAAATCCAGCCCGTCTAGGGCGGTCGGACGGGCCTTATTTCATACACTGGCATAGATTAATGCTCATGACGTCAATCACTGGATTGTCTGGTCCAGGTGATTATTTGCATATATCTCGAATATTTCTGAGTGAGTGTGACAAGCACAGCCGGCGAGACTAGTATCATGACTATCACCTACCCACTCTTTGCTTGTAAATGACAACGCAGTTATGATATCTAGGTCCAACAACGTGCTGGGACTGCAGCAATGGCTGCCCCTTCATTCAGCACCCCATGACGTGTACATCCGGGTACTGTCTGACGACGGTCACAGACGACATCCAGTACACCAGGACAATCAGGAAGAGGTGAGTGTATCAGGGTCATTCTGGTATTGGAACCCGTGGTCAGCGGATTCTAGAGTTGACCAGTGTGTCAGTGTCGACCAGTTCCCGGAGCACAGTCTAACGTCGGGCATTCTGGAATCAACCGTTATGGTGCTGACAGGCCAAGGATCAATTTGGGGACGAATCGTGATAATAGGGCCTGTAAGTCCCACGAGGCGTTACTTCCGGCACTAAGCTGGTTCCCGGCTCCCTTTGCGCACGCCAGCTTGCGATATGCGAGACGGGCCCAGCTTACTTCCGGTACCAGATTTCCGGTGACAAGCGTACATTCAAGAATTAGTTCTGCTTCCAGCTTGCGACAGCCGTAATAGTTGGCTAATTTTACTATGGTTAGATCGGAAATTTGTTATTCCTGCTTGGCTTATCGGTTCCTTACTGTCAACCGACAGCCATGAGATCATTCCAAAAGGTATGAAACGTTGTTTGTCATGTTTAGTACTAAGGTCTCGAGAAGTGCCGTGACCTACTTAAGGGCCCTATAGTATCCTGTTACGTCACGGGACGCAACTGTTTACGATACATTTTGCCGCTTTAGAGTGATTGGGTTTATCGTATTCCCCCAATTCTCCAATGTTTATCTTTACCCTTGAAGTACGTTCTTTTAACATAATCAGTGGGTACGGATGATTTTACAACGCTTTAAATAATTATTTTTGTGAGTGAAACCAAACTTTGGCTTGAGGAAATGTGGTATATAATCGGCTGCAATATTCACAAACACTTTTACAGTCATAACGATCAATATACTGCGATGTACGCATCAGATGCTGTCGTCATTCAGGGGGCGGTGGGGTAGCATAGTGATTAAAGCGTTCGCTCATCCCTCCAAAAGCCCGGGTTCGATTCCCCACATGGGTACAAGGTGTGAAGCCCATTTCCGGCGTCTCACGCCGTGATATTGATGGAATTTTACTAAAAGTGGCGTAAAACCATACGCACTTACTAATTCACTGTCATCATGCTATAGTGTCATCTAACCGTAAAACTAAACTCACTCACCCACCCACTGTTGTGTCATCTTCAGCTGTGTTGACGAGGCCACCTGCTACAGCAAGTGGTGGCTGCAGACATCAGACACGGATCTGTGTCTGAACATGCTGGACCACACGTCTGCCCCATCCGGCGCCAGCATCATTTGCAGCTTCTGCTGCGACTCCGACAACTGCAACCAGGGCGACTTCCCACCTAAAAATACACTGTTTGATGGGAAACACAGCCAGTTTGGATAGTTCTCTCTGAAGACGGGTGTGTGGGCATCGAGGTTATAATTAGCAGATACTGACTGTGTACTGTACTGCATGGATATGTCGTTAATAAAAATGCCATTGTTACATTTTAGTTAATTTATTTCTTTGAAATGGTAAAGTTTCGGTGAAGAAAAGTTCTAAAATGTATTTTCGAAATCACGATAGTTGACAATAATAACGTTCATTGTACTCATGTTGGGCTTTCATAGCCTTTGTGTATTTACTTTACATCACTGATCATTATGGGACGGTAGGGTAGCCTTGTGGTTAAAGCGTTTGCTCGTCACGCCGAAGACCCGGGTTCGATTCCCCACATGGTCACAATGTGTGAAGCCCATTTCTGGTGTCCCCCGCCGTGATATTGCTGGAATATTTCTAAAAGCGGCGTAAAACTATACTCACTCACTCATACCGAGTTTCGGTTCGAATTCACCGAAAAGCTGCGGATCTTTCTGCGGAGATCCTGCAAAATTACAAATCCGTACTTCGTTACAAAAACCGTTGTGGAGTCTACTGTACTGAACGACCCGTTTGAAAAATCTTTCCATATGCGCTACACGGTTTAAATTATAAGCAATTCATAAGCTGTTATAGAAATCTATTACCTCCAAACACTATAATTTTTCATCGAAACACATTGAAAACTAACATCTTATAACGCTTTCGCGTAGAATGTATGGCACTTCCAAGGGACACAACTCTGCAGGGTTTCTTGGACCATTCCTTTGCCAGTTGACAACTCTCATGGGAAAATGCATTCGTTTGAGTTGTTTTCGTGAATTCGCTCGTGCGAAACGGACGAATATTTGCTGAAATTGTAACGGTTAAACAAATCACGACCAATCAGGGGTGTGAAGCCCATTTCTGGTGTCCACCGCCGTGATATTGCTGGAAATTGCTAAAAGCGGCGTTAACCCTTTACTCACTCACTCACTCACTCACTTCGATGGTTTCAGAATAAATGCGTTGGTTTACAAACAAAAACTAAGTATTGTTTTATTATTATATTATTTTGAAGGATTGGGAGATATCATGTGTTGGGATCGACAAAACACTGACCGAGTGAACGTAAGTTCGAAATCTATGACGTGTAGAACTTGGATTCTCTGGAAACAGTGATACAGTGTGGGCGGTTGGCTGGTTGTTTTTTTACGCCGCTCTCAGAAATATTCCAGCTATATGGCGGCTGTCTGTCAATACTCGAGTCTTGACCAGACAATCCAGTGATCAACAGCATGAGCATCGATCTACGCAGTTGGGAACCGATGACACCACCTCTTACGACAAGCATGGGTGACTGAAGATCAATTCTAACCCGGATCTTCACGGGTCAGCGTGAGCGGTGGTGAAGGACGTGTTAGGTTCCGTGTGAACGTAAGTTATTTATGTAATATTATAATATATAGCTGCACATTCCATCAACTCCTTATGATAATAATAACTCGAGAAACATGCACGCATGTGTCTCTATGAAAACAGCCGAACGACAGACATGCCCGAGTCTCCGGATAGAAGCAACATATGACGTCAGATGAATCCAGAATCATATGACGTCACAAACAGGCGACGTCACAAGTATTATGACGTTGATATATTGTTATTTCAGACAAAATGCCATGGGAGGCGGTAGCAAAGTAAAGACCAAAATGAAAAAGAAACATCGTAGCAAGACCAAGAACAGCTGGTCGGAATATGAAAACCTTGTAGCAAGGGTGTTTCAACATGAAGTCATCGTTGTGCAGAAGCCGCTTATGGGGTAAGTATTAGGGTTATTCATTAGGGATTACCTTGCTGGACCCGTGAAGATCCGGGTTAGAATTGATCTTCAGCTGACTTGGTTGACACATGTTATCGTATCCCAATCGCGTAGATCGATGCTCATACTGTTGATCACTGAATTGTCAGGTCCATACTTGATTATTTACAGGCCGTTGCCATGTATAAAACTAAACTCACTCACTCACTATGTTTACGTAGGAACGGAAGGAAGCACATCCGTTGTACTGATACTCTTTTTACATCAGCAATGGGGTTAGGTTGCTGATCCCATTTCAAAATGGTGCTTGTTGTTACTGATGGATAAGATGGGTGTGTTTTTAAGCAGAGGATACTTCATGCTATTTTTGGTATTTGTGTTGTTGTCATGTGTAACATATAACTAAACTGAACTATATGACAAATAACAGGTTTCTAAGCAAATTTGAATCGATTTCGTCTGTGTTGCTTTTCTAAAACTGAAACAATGTTGAAACAATGTACAACTCAGTACTCTCACAATTTCACGTATCCCAAAACAATGTCCGTACACATCGTAAAACTATATATAACTATATAACTATATATAATGACTACGTCACATTTTTCAAAAACACGCGACATTTTCAAACAACCATATTGAAGACGTAGAAAAATGAATGCCTGTCTCTGGAATGGCTATTGATACCCCCACCCCCACACACAATCTACACAAAACCCATTTTCCTACCAAAATACTTAATCCTAAACTTCAAGAATTCACTTGAGCTGAGAGAGTGATGTCGTACGGCAGCCAGATATATTTCATATTTCTGACTTTCGTATCCCAGTTGCGTAGATCGATGCTCATGCTATGTCCAGACTCGATTATTTACAGTAATATTGCTGTGTGCAGAGGTAAACAAATAAATAAACAAACAAATAAATATATAATCATGGAAACGAATATGGAACTCATGAAAGTACGTGTGTTCCTATATTCTTTTCAAGGCTTCCTCGCATGCTTTGTATTGCAATGTGAGTGAAATTCTGGAAATAAATAAAGGAGCACTTGTACTTTTGTCTGTTCCCTTATTCATTTCCTGAGTATATTCACCTGTGCTCAATGCCCTTCAGTTGTCACCTGCAACACGCACAGTAGAAACTGAGCGAATGCGAGTATTAAAAGAAGCTCTCATAAAATATTAGAAGTCCGCCCAGGCTAGACAACCGGTTATCTTCAGTCATTTCACAGTTATGCATTGATCTGTTTCCCCATCGTACCTATATTGTTTTTTTATAGGTGTAATATTTGTTTAAAATAAATCTTAGAAATTCACACCTGATGTTATAAAAAATACATACCCCTACTCTTATCGCACTCTTAAAAACCAAAATCAGCTTGGTCTTTCTTGATCTACATTTATCAAATCATTGTTTCCGAAGCAGAGCAACTCGATCTACATCTTAAATTACTTAAAAGACTTTTGTTGAACATAAAATTTAAAATTCCAGAAATATACGTTACATGTGTTTTCACATTATTTAACTGTAATTTATTGGTGGTTCAGGTTGGAAATTAAAAATCCCAAACATATGAAAATAGGGATGGCCTTTTACATTTAACCTGTCTGATATGTACAAATATATCTGTTTGTCAGACAAGGGAAGATTAATCTACAATATTTTGGCGGTTGAAGGTTGCGTTTACTGTTCTTGTAACTACTGTGCGTTCTCAAGCTAGCCACTGATTGTTTATTTTGTCATATCTTGTCCGTAGACATGTGTTTGTTTTTGGCAGGTTTATGCTCATAACGCTATCGATTTATCCATTATACGGCAGAGCATCGGTTAATATTAATCCACACTCGCTGATAACGGACATATTTTTTTAAAGGTTCGCGAGAATGTACAGCAAATGTGAGACCTGGTGGCCATGTTGGCAAGTTGACATTATCGTGTGTATGATCTGGACCCGAGTCACCTTAGTCTTCAGTTGTGGCACGATGGCCCTGGTTGGTTGGTTGGTTGGTTGGTTTTGGTTTTATAGTTTTAGGGCGACGTGGACGCGATGGAACTGTCGTCCCTGCAGAGTTAACTCCCTTGGTCATGTCAGGATCCCGACGATCGTGGTTCCAATTCCGGAACGGTCCTGAATATAACAAAAATGATAGCTTTTATACCCTCGACGCCGATTACAGTGAGTGAGTCCGTAGCGTCCTTAACGGCTTTTTCAACGAAATACGGATTTGTAGTTTTGTAGGATCTCTGCAGAAAGATCCGCAGCCATTTGGTGAATGCGTTCGCTCGTCGAAACGAAAACTCAGGTATGAATGAGTATAGTTTTACGCCGCTTTTAGCAACATTGCAGCAATATCACGGCGGGGGACACCAGAAATGGGTTTCACACAATGTACCCATGTGGGGAATCGAACCCGGACCTTCAGTGTGACGAGCGAACACTTTAACCACTAGGCTACCCTACCGCCCACTTAGGTATGAACACCCAACATGAGTACAATGGACAATGTTATTGTCACGAATGCTCTCACATATGCAATATAGTCGTAATTAATTACAAAATGTTCCCCTCGGAGTTCTGCAGCTGGAACATAACAATCAACATCGTTAATTTCATAAGATATAGTTCGTGTGTAAAGACTACTCACGAATCTACCTCGCTCTCGCTGCAGAATACAAGACCTCGTTTCGTAAAATCACACATGCTCGTACAACAATCTCTGTATCGTGTTTTGCCAGTTTTCAATAATATATACAATTCCGCACGGTGTTTCTCAGTTGTTAACTAATTACTTACGTTTGAAGCGGTATAAAGTTTAACAGCTCCTGCCGATAACACCCCTCCGTCTCACACGGAAATACATCAAGACAAACGAAGTGATCTATATGAGGCAATAACCCGATAACGGCAGTTCAAGTTGTCTTTGAGGACGCACGTAATCCTCGTGCAGGGCGTGCCTGTTGTTTGTATTGGGGACACCTCTGGCGCCCGCCGCGTGAAACTTGTTCGACTTGATAAGAGTTGGCGTGCAACAAATAACGGATGGAACATATTTTGCGATACGCCCATTATATTGAGGTGAGGTGAGGTGAAATTGGGTTTAACGTCGTGCTTGAGAATATTTCGCTCATATGACGACGTGAATGCGTGTGTATGTGTATGTGCGGCTGCTTGTACTAGCCCAGACTGAAGCTGGTTTTATAGTGCTAGCCCACTGAGATACCATGCCGCAGTGAAGCATGAATACCCCACTCAGACACATTATACTGACTCCGAGCCGACCAGTCCTTGTTGTACCCATTAATGCCGAGCGCCAGGCAGGGATCAA